CTTTTGGAATCTTCACAGCAACATTTGGAAAAGAAAAAGTTACCAGCTGACATGGAGACGACCGGAAACTCCTTTAAATTGGGTTAAAAATTAAAATATTTTGCTTTTTTGGATGACTGGATCTTTTCATTAGAGCTGGGAGCCTGTTAATGGTCCTCGGGGGGAGCGGGGGTGTCAAAGGTTTCCATTGAGAAGGAATTTGCAGGGGGGGGGGGCAGGAGAAAACAAAATTTTGCCCTCTTTTTCCCCAATCACAATTCCCCCCCTCCCCACCAAGAAGGACACCACATTTCAGAAGGGAGATGCCTTAGCCAAATCTTAGATATACCACCCAGAATCCCTCACTCACCCACCCAAAAGGACAAGGATACCTTCTAAATAAATACCACGCAAAGGTTAGGAGGTTGCATTTACCGGAGCCATTCAAAATAACCCAGCACCAAAATATCATTATTCTTCCACTTTCTGCTTTTTCTTTTCCTCCCTTTCTCTCCAGGGAAGCAATCCCCTTGAAGGAATTTCCAAACAGTATAAAACAGCGTCATTGATAACAGTTTAAATAATATAGGTGCTATCTTTCTACTCTTCTTTTGTCCTCTTCAGCTCATCCCTTCTTTTTTTCTCATCCCTTCCTACCTTCCCCTTTCTCCCTCCTATCCTTCCTTCCTTCCCTCTCCCCTTCCTTCCCTATTTTACCTTGTCCCCGTCTCTTCTGCCTTCTTTTTCCCCTCCTTCCCTCCTTCTTTTCTTTCCTTCCTTCCCTATCCCAGTTATGCCCCTTCCTTCCTTCCTTCCTTCTCTTCCTTCCTTCTCTCCCTCCCTCTCCCAACTATGCCTCCCTTCTTTCCTTCTCTTCCTTCCTTATCCTAGTTATGCCACTTCCTTCCTTCCTTCTTCCTTCCCTCTCTCCCTCTCCCAATTATGCCCTTTCCTTCCTTCCGTCATTCCTTCCTTCCTTTCCTTCCTTCTTCCCTCTCTCCCTCTCCCAGTTATGCCCTTCCTTCCCTCCTTCCTTCCCTCCTTCCTTCCCTCCCTCTCCCAGTTATACTCTTTCTTTCTTTCCTTCCTTCCTTATCCTATTTATGCCCCTTCCTTCCTTCCTTCTTTTCTTCCTTCCATCCTTATTTCATTCTCTCCCTCCCTCTCCCAATTATGCCTCCCTTCTTTCCTTCCCTTCCTTCCTTATCCTAGTTATGCCCCTTCCTTCCTTCCTTCTTCCTTCCCTCTCTCCCTCTCCCAGTTATGCCCTTCCCTCCTTCCCTCCCTCCTTCCTTCCCTCCCACCCTTTCCCAGTTACATTCTTTCTTTCCTTCCTTCCTTATCCTATTTATGCCCTTTCCTTCCTTCCTTCCTTCCTTCCTTCCTTCCTTCCTTCCTTCCTTCCTTCCTTCCTTCCTTCCTTCCTTCCTTCC